AAATAGGAGACAAAGAAATACTAACTTCTTTCAACTATGTATCACAGAAACATTGAAGCAAAATTACTGTTTTTCATTGCATGAGCAGGCGAAAAAGAGACTCAAAGCAATCTGTTCTTCAGCTTTAAAACAATGGAGTTTGAGTAACAGCAAAACACTCCTTGCGAACACTGACATGGGATAGAGGGAACAGATGCAACTGAAAATTGAGAGATACAGTGGATTTCCATTCTATATTAATTTTTTGGGGTTTTGTTTTTGCCTTTTCTACTGGTTTTTGCAAGCATTCCAGTTGACAAGGGAGAATATAATATTTCTGTATTTCATGATTTTTCAAACCTTAGAGCATTTAATTTATGTAAGTAGGGCACCTCAAGAAAATACAGTAGTTATTTCAAAGCAAGTTCCCATTTACATTTATGTACATTTTCACAAAAAATTGTATCTAAATATCAAGACAATATCTCTGCATCACAGCATCTTGGCATGACATTCCTGTTGCTCCCGTAACCTTAACCCTAATTAAGAAGCTGAAAACTTCTCTTTCTGGTCTTACTATAGGTATTTAAAACTTCAAATTACATAGAATCATAAGAATCACAAATAAGATGAAGTATAGAAAAACAATAAAATAATAAAAATCAGTATTCTCTGGCAAGAACTCTTTAAGATAAAAACACCATGTGTTATCTCAAGAATTCTTTCATGTAAGAACAGCACTGTTAAGATGGAGTATGAATAAGGCTTGCAATCTGAAACATTCTCTATTTTGACTGGAAAGATCAAGCAACGATTCAGTAGCTAGTAGATACCTTCTCCACTCCAAAAAAATTTCAAAGAGAACAAATTGGTTTTGTAAGTTTCCAACACTCAAAGTTTTAATAAGAGATCTCTACAATTTTACCTTCGCGTTTTCATCTTGATATAGTCACAGCATATCTACATGTCTTATTGCAGCCCTCTCCAATTAATACTTGTGTAATTACAATTCATTTAAATTAAACAAAAATTCATAAATATGCAAACCCAATTTGTGCTGATTGCCAAAGATAAATAAACCTGCGGGTTGGGCAGGGGGAAGGGAAGGTGTTAATGAACCTAATCTAGAACCTGAGAGCTAAACAACTCTACTCTGCCATTATGTTGTTGCAAAGCCAGCTAATTTTTATGCAGAGTATTTTTGTTTACTGAGATAGTGAACCTTTACCTCAGAAACAAAATTTTGCATTCAGTAATTTTTTAAAGTGCAGTTAATATCTTAAGCTAATTGCTTTTAAACCAAAACATGTAATTACTGGCTCAATTTGTTGTTTTTTTTAACTATATTCATTTCTCAGCAGACTACAAATTAACCTCAGAATATCAATTACCTTTTACTAACTTGAAAGCTCAGAAATTATATCCATGTCTGAAAGTCTCAAACAGCAAACAAGATGTATTTTTTTTCCTGAAAACAACTAAGAATGAATGGTTTAAATATCCCTTCTTAGAAACATCAACTGAGATATCTTCTACAAAACACATGAATAAAAAAATTAATCCTTGATAACACATAATAACACTGGAACATGCGAAGAAGCCGTTTGACATTGTTCTCTGAACTTCCATGACATTTCTGAGAAACTTCTCAGAACATAAGAGTACACAAGCATGAATAAGGCTCAATCAGACTATCTGCTGGGCACTCAAATACCAAAAATATGGCTGGATTTATTGAGAATGTAGCTCTTGACTATTTAAAAAAAATACCAACTCTATTGATTGCAATCACATAAGCTTTCCTTTTTATATCTTTGTATATTGTGAGGTTCTAGACCTCTTTTGTATCTTCTCCGAGAAAGCACAACACTTAACATGGCACAAGGAGTCGTCCAATGGTGCTTACGTTGTGCTAATACGTAATACCTCAAAGACTTACTTTTCTGATGTCATCTAAGGTGTTGATCTCCGGAGACAAGCCACCATGTACACACAGGAATTGTTGGTTCATCAGAGCAGCCAAGGGAAGGCAGTCAAAGGCATCCATGCAGGCATCATATACACGTTCTGAATATTTGATTTTACCTTTTAAAAATTAAGATGGTAATAGAAAGCACCATCAATATTTAAGAGGAAAAAGGAATATGCTTAATATCTCAAACTTTTTCTCTCACTATTCTATCTGGTGTTGAGGACTGAACCCAAACTCTTGCTTCTTACAAAAATATCTTCAGGAATCTACTGCTGGAAAAATTCTTCCTGTTCTGAGGTGAAATTAATAAAACTTTATCATATTTTTTCTAAAAAACTGTAAACAAACAACTGAATATACCATTACAGTCTACCATTTTTACTCAGTATGAAATCTGTAGAGCAAGCCTTAAAACATCTGCTGAATGGCTATCATCATTATTACTCAATATACTCTCTATGAAATAGTCAGAACTTTAGCCCAGTCCCTTATAATTAATTATCTACAGAAATGCCATTATGAAATGAACGAGGTGGTACAATGAAGCTGAAATGTTAATTTACCAATATGCATATTAAACTCAGTAAACCATGAAGCCTTTGAGCCAATTGACATTTCCTTTATCCCCCTTGTAAATAAGAAACACACACTTGCGGCCACAGTTTTATCTTACAGTGTCACAGGGGGAAAAAAGCTTCAATGTGCAGGTAAAGGTCTACATCTAATGAGCTTTTATGTGTCACTGCATCCTTTCTTGCAACACAGAAAGGAATTCATATAAAAACAGCACATTGAGAAGTTTAAGCATACACACAGGATAAATAAGAAAATGCTATACCTAAAGGAAAAACTAAAATAAAGATTCCTTGTATTTTCCTCCTGCTCCATGAGATAAGGCCCTCCTTAAGCAGCAGTCAGGAACCTGACACAGGTGCCAGGGCTGGTGTGCCAGCAGGTTTTGCCTGCCAGGTTGCTGCGTGGGCAGCAAACCCTCAGCTGCTGCAAGAAGTGTCAGCAGCAGAACACATTTACCAAGAGCATCCAGGCCCAGATGGACCCACAACACCCCAGGATGCTCCCACACCAGGCTGGAAAGCTCACGTGGGGGGCTCTAAGCCCTTCCATTCCACACCACTGAGAGGTGACTGCCCTCTCAGGGAACAGGGATTTAACAACAATTTAAAATTAATGGCAGTTAACATGAAAAGTACATGAAAATTTACTAATAGTGAACCAGTATAAAGTATTTGTAAAATTACAAATTAAGTTGCTGAAAAAGGAGTTAAGAGGAGAAAGGCAAGATAGACTTACATTCTTGCTTAAATGTGAAATACTCTGTTAAATGTCTACATTCATGGTTCCCACGAAGTAAAAACAGTGTTTTGGGGTAAAGGATTTTCAAGGCCCACAAGTACAGCACACACTGCAAATCAGAACAAGAAAGAAAAACAGAATTCATAATTAATGACAGAACGATTTACATTCCCCTTCATCACAAAAAAAACAGCAGAAAAAGTAAAAGTAATTTGTGCAAAGCATTTATTTTCAACTGATGAACTTCATTCTTCATATACAACATTCAAACACTTCTCTGCACTTCAGCCTGGAATGACTGAAGCCCATGTGGGTATATTCTGATAAGAGTTTTACACTTTTTGCTGAGTGACACTGCCGTCAGCAGCCCCAGCTCTCACACAGCAATTGCTGCTCATCTCTACAATAAAGTGCACACTCTCCACCTGGAAAGCAGTGCAGAAACCTTCCAGTGGAAACAATTTCACCGGAAGACCTGCATTTCCTGGCTTAAGGAAAAATCTGCCTCAAAACAATTTAACTCACACTTCAGGAAATACCTCAGCTTTCAGAATTACACTGTTTTTACATGAAAGCTTGTTCATTTTCCACTTAACATTGTTCTCTATATACAATGGGATAAAAACATCCACAAAGCTCATGCATTAAATGAAGTTACTACCAAGCTTTTATGATGCCTTTTCTCTTTCCTAAAGATTTCTATTTGAGGTGACATTTCTTCTAGACATGTTTTTAAAGATTAAAAAAAAAAGACTTGGAGAGGCTAAGCTCTGCTCAGACCTTACTAAACCACCTGATTAAAAATATTTGTTTCAAAAATGAGCTCACAGCTCCAAGGAAGTTGATGGAAATAAAACCCACTCATCCCATGAGATGAGCCCACTACCAGCAAGTACACTGTAGAGATCACAGAGTCCTCTCAAAAACAAGAAAGCTAGAAAAACTGTCTGAATGGTTTTTCCTCCATCCTTTCCTTGCTTATATAACTATGAACTGCAGAAATGCTGTACAAGAAACAAAAGGTGTCAAAACCCCCCACTTCAATTTACATCTACTTCCTAAGACTCCTCTCTGTTCCACTGGGAAAAAAAAAAAGTAATTTAACTTAATAACCAATAGATTGGAAACTCAGAATGCATTCTGTTGTTTTGGATTAGAACAACATCAGCATTGCTGTACATGTAACGCCTTGACATTATAGTGTGGATTCCCTTCTGCAATTCAGAGTGCCTTGAAAAACAGCTGAATAGAAACTTTCATCATCTCAACATGTAGATTTCAGCTACCTTTTTTGCTACACAGTCAACTCATAAAAAAAAAAAAAAGGAAAAGAAGAAGGGATTCAGTATTAGAATGTCTGTGCTCACACTACCAATAGATAATCACACAGCAGCAGGAGTTTTATACTACTCCTCATTGTCTTGAGTTTATTACATGTAAACTTCTGAATGCTTCGTCTGTTTTTTATCTGTAATTTCTGTTCTTCTACTCAGAGGGCCCATAGACAGAGGAGAACAGCAAAAATACAGGCAGTATATTCGAGGAATTGTAAAATTAATTCTCCCCCTTGAAAACACATAGAAGGCCTCCCAGCTCTTCCAATTCTTCCACATCCCTGGTGCTACTGCCACTGCAGGAAGCAAGAAAGATGTCACAATGCCAGGGAAATCATGCTAATGTAATCCACCATGGAATTATGGTGTTAGGTCACAGGAATCATCTGTTGTGGCTCAAAACAACCACAAAGGGTGTGCCTGGATAAAGTCTTCTGTCCCTCTGTAAACTCCAGCAGACTTGGGTTTGAGGGTTTTACTCCAATGGGGCAAGAAACCTGAACTTGTCCACACCACCAGAGCAATTCTCTCTCTTTTTGATGATGACTCCTTCATTTCTCCAACAATTTACAGAACCTTCCGCTTGAAAGTTACAGACTCATGCAAAAATTTGATGTAAATGTTGTGAGAGAAGTTTAAAGAGACATTCCCACCCATGCAAGAAAAGCTCCAGCTTTTAAAGTCATATCCAAGTTACATTAGAGCTTCTAATCCTGCCAAAACACCTTTAGAAAAGCACAATTAGTGATTAAATTAAATGGCATATTAAAAAAAAAAAAAAAAGTCATTTACATTGCCTTTGTAATTAAGGTTTTCACTTTCCTAAAGCTCTGGCAAGATTTAAATAAGCACTCCATATTTAAAATATTGTCCAGATCTGGAAAGCAGGGAAAATAAAGAGAGACAGAATTAACTTTTTGGCATTAGGTATTTGTTTACAGGTTGGTAGCTCTTTATTTGCTTATCATAGATTTATTTTTTCTTTTTTTTTTCTATGCTTCCTTTGAAGTACTCATGAGAACCAGACAGAAGGTAACAGAGGATCAATACAGTCCAGAAAGTTCTAATGCTCTGCCACTATTCAAGCAATGTAAGCCCACTATTTACATTTTTTGTTTTCAGCAGTACTATATCAAGCACTTATTTTGTTTAGATGATTCCTTTAATTTGCTCCCTTTTCCTTTCAGTAGTTCAGTGATGTTGTAATAGTAAATAAGAACTAATTGGAAGAGTTTTTTCCATGCAAACTAATGAGAAAATATGAGGGCAACGATTTTCATGGCTTTTCAACTTAGTCATTTACATACAAAAAACCCTTATGTTCAAAACAACAAATCATGATCAAACATTCTGGTTTTGATTTTTTTCCTACCTGTGCTTCACATAATTCTTACTGGAGTCAGAAGATTTATGATAAATTGTCCTTGTGAAAAATCTAAGCTACAAATCTTTAAGTATTTTGTAATACTGCTTCCCTGACATAAAATTTTAAAATACCTTTCTTCCTTCAACTTTTTCATTAAGATCATACTGAACATCAGCTCTGCTGTACCTCTATGCAAAACGTACAGTGAGCACCTTGCAATCTAGACCTCTGTAAGGTACTTTTGCCTGTCTCATTTCACCCTATAAAAAACCAGATAGATAGACAGATAGATAGACAGATAGATATAAAAGAAGTTATAGTTCTTAACTGAGGATCCTCAAACCCCTCTTACTTGTTTTCTGTCTTTCAGCTGTTGAAATTGTAGATATGTTAAGTCTGTAACAAAGAGGTAATCTGTTCACCTCTTAGCTCCCCTAGTCAAGCTATTTTCCTGCTGAGGTTCTGGCAGCCTCAGCTTCAGGAAAGAAAAGGTCTGTGCAATTAAGCACTGTGTAAGCCAAAGGCCCACATTCTAAAAGCAGGCTTGGGATTTAACTCCACTGTTGCATGCTGAATTTGAGCATCTGCACAATTCCATATCTCAGCCCATCCTGGAAAAGAAAACCAAAGGCCCCACAGCTCTTCTAGGCATCTCAAGCTATGTGATTAAAGCAAGGAGCCTTAAAAAAAAGCATCACCACGGCTGCTCGAGTACAACCACAGCATCACAGTGCTCACTTCTGGGTGCTCCAGCATTGGTAGTGCCAAGGATGAGAGAGATGCAGCTCACTGCCAGCTGCGTGGCTTCGCATGGACCACAAAAGGTGAACTACCCCACCAAATGACGGACAGCACTGGGCACTCCTCCAGCAGAGAAAATAAAGTGTGAGTAAGTGTGAGGTAATTCACACTTGAAAGAATAATTTGAGCCACACACTGATGCTCTGTGACCTGTGGGACTGGCATGGCTTTTGCACTAACACACCTAAATACAGAAATTGCATTACTTTAGGTGCAGTAAAATAATGATGCCATCACAATAACTAGTAGAGATACAGCTTTCTAAAATGGAGTAACTATCACAATGGAAACCTTTTCACACATGTAGCTGCATTCATGATACTGGGGTGACTATTTATTATGGCAGGATTTCAGAGACAAATAAAGATACATTGCAGCTGGTACCAGAATGCTCATAAGAGATGCAGCTTATTGCCATTTCTGAACTACTATCCCTTGAGCACAAAGAAAATTCTGAACACGAGTGCAGATAAAGAAAAAGTCATATTGTCTTCACCACAAGTAGGATTGAAGCAAAATCGCAATATACTGTTTGCTAATGTTTATATCACATTACTCCCCTTTCAGCCTTTAGAAATAATATCTGAAAAGATAAAAAATATCCAAAAAGAAGTACCTCTTTTTCAACCAAAAAGTGACTAGGAAATTATTTTTCAAAAATGTTCCTCTAATCCTTATAGCTAGTACTTTCTAAACAGGTATTCAAGTGATGACTCCTAACTCTCATTTTTGGGACCTTGTGTCTAGGCCACAGCTGTTCTCCGAGATGTGTCCCACAGAGAGATGGCATCAGTACAGGGGCAATGGTGCCATCACATGTTCTCCCCCTGCAAAAGGGGTCCTTGGCGTGCTGGGGACTCACACTGGGAACAGCCGGCACAGTACCAGTCAAGCTGCAAGGACAGCCCTGACACACACAGATGTTCCAGCTTGGAAATCTAATATATATATAATATATATAAATAATCCAAATTTGCTGAGTTACTGAATATTCACAGCTCTGAGGAGCACTGCTATACAAAAATGACTTCTCACAAGATGCAAATTGTTGCTATGAAAAAAGATATTTGCTACTAGTCTACAGAAGAAAAGGACAAGGAAATTCAGGACAATTAAAGTCCTAGGATTTTCTTTGCTCTTAGAGAATTGAAAAAACTGTTGACTTCACTGGTGAAGTATTCCTGACCAGCCCAAATTATTTTAAATCAAGCTGTTTACTGGAAAACATTAACACACTACAATAACAGAGGATGCTGAAAGGTGTTTATTCTTCCAACTAAGTCCTTAAAAGTTCACAGGGACTTGAGAGATAATAAACACACAACTTCACCAGCATTAATTTCACCCACCATTTACTAACATAAATTTATATATGTGTAATTCTTTTCTTGGGAGAGACCATTTAATTTCCAACAGTTCACTGAGTTCAGAAGCATCTCAAGCACCAGATGCTTTTTTTTAATTGGTGCAAGATCCAGTGGTCAAATTCCAGACTCAGTCCAAACACCTCACTTTGTTCTTGCTGGAAATACCACAAAACCAGTTTCACCTTCTGAAATTTCAGTCTGTGCATTCAGGAAGGGAAATGTATGCATGTTCTGAATTTTAAAACATAACTCCAGCTTTGTTAGTTTTGCACATTGGTACAACTCTCTGTATTTTAACTCTTTCCTCTGCCAAAAATGATCACTATTACCTTATGATGGTCAAGTGACATATAAAACAGTATGTTGTTATATGGAATTGAGCAATAAAATAGCTCCAACAGTTGCTTTACATATTATTATTAATAATGCATTATAGTTGGCTTTTACTCTGTAATTTTCCTAAGACTGAGATGAAACCCAGTCTGTATGTGCTCTTCCCTACACAGCACAGCATTTGTCTGCTTTTCAAAAAAGAGTTTTCAGACTCAGGTAAAGAGATTAGTCATTCTTGCTTACAACCTATTCCTGCAGAACCACTTAGGCTCTAACTATTCTTCAGATTTAAAAATAGTCCTCTGTTTTGATCATTTGGGTTTCTACTCTCCATGACCATAAAACTCATTTGAAAGCCAAAACCAAGGGGTTTCTTCTACTCCGGAGCCAAACCCCTGGAACAGTGCACAAGCACAAGAGGGAAATGTTATCAGTTATATAGGTAAGGAAACAAATGAACTGTATTAAATTGCAGAAATGTGTTGTTTTAAAGTGAAGAAATGTCCAGCTCTGCCAAAAGGTCAAATGGAAAAGAGAACACAGATCTGGAATAAACATTCCATCTGTCACAAGAAACCTTGTCTCATTCTACCTACAGTTTGACATTTTTTAATTTTACTTGCTGTAACTTCTCTATCAGTCTCTCATCCTTTGACTCGTTGGTTAGAACTAATATAAAAGACACAAAACACACACCCCTCTCTTCAAGGAGTGAAGCTAACTCCAGCAAAAATGGAACATGCACATTAAAAATTGAGCCCTTGGATCAAAAGCTCCATAGGGCAAAGACTGACATTTCTGCTGAGTGCCTTATACAAATACTTCTCTCTTTTTCCCTCTGAATTATCAAATGCCTTCCACCTACTTTATGCAATTTCTTTCTCTGTTCTTAATGATAATAGCTTGCATTATGTACTACCTTTCATCCAGAAGAATCCCAAATGCTTTGCAGCCCACAGAGAAGGATTATCTCGCCCACTATCAGAACTCAGCTTGGTCTAAGCTCAATGGTGTCACTTTTACACTGGAGATCACACGGCAGTCAAGGGGAATATTTTTTAAAGCTTGCATTACTCATGATTAGTACCTTGGACCAGCTACTTAATTCTTTTGGAAAGACCCCAGAACTGCAATAGTCTCTTGTCTCCATAGCAGAAAGGGGAGCCAGCAGATGGATGGAAGAAAGATCAGTATGTGATTGGTGTGGTAGAGATATGAACTGAGGCTAGGGCTGTTTATCAGCATGACTTCCCCAGCACAAAGTACTGACAAGAGGTGGTGCCTGATCTATGTACTTAGGTTCCCTTCTCCACCAAAAACATTCTCCCCCTCTAAATGCCAAGCTGCATTCTTCACAAATTTACTTTCCTTGTCACTACTTATTGTGCTGAGTTCATGCCTGACTGCACAGCTCTACATCTAAATACACTTATGAAACTGAAACTTGCCTTCCCTTTCAAAGACATTCTTTAATCAAGGTGACAGGTGGGGAAAATCAGTTATGTGACAAAAAAAAAAAAAAAAAAGAGAAGTAATAGAAGTGACATCTGAGATATTTTCTTGGCGCTGGTGGAAGCCAATACTGCTTCCAGTGAAAAAGCCATGTTCCTGAATGGAAAAACTGAATTCAATGAATTGAATGTGCTAAGTATGTATGCACGGGTTGCTAATAAGAAATTTTAAGTGGATTATTGCATATTCATAGACTGTTTTCTATGTTTTCTATGTCTTGCTATGTCTTTAATTGGTAATAGCCCTGAAACAGATTTTGGTAAACTGTCAGAGAAGTACTTGAAAGCTGTAGCAAATCCACTTGTTCTATTTCTTTTATTAAAAGCCTGTGTATATAGAAGTGAAGACAAACCTTCCTCTTCCAAAGACATCTTGTCTCAATCAAAGACTACAGAAGATATGAATGAGGTTAATACAACTCAAAAATGGTAGTTCAAGACAGAGCTGCACAATGGTTTAAGTCTGTGAAGCTCTTCCTGCTCCTTCTTCCCAATCTCCCCCAAGCAATCCAGCATGAGAATCCATAGCAGTGATTTAGTTCACCGCTCACTGTGGATCAGTTCTCAAGAAAATCATGAACTCAAGCTAAAAAAAAAAATCACAATTAAAGTTCTGACTTCAGTATGAGACTAAATCCTGACTATGCACATCTGTACTTGGAATAGCATATTTCTATTTGTAAAATGTGCCAAAAGATTCTGTTAACACTTGAAATTTTAAAATGAACTAATAAAACAAAAGTAATTTTATTGAATCTAATTTTTCAGAAACTTCTCACTTTAAACATAACACTGGCAAGATAATATACTGATCTGTTTTCCAAACACCATAAACAACTCAGCTGCTTGGCCTTATATACTTGTATACCAATATGGCAATGGTGTACTTTGATGTGGGATGTAGAATGAAACAGCAGTAGATGTGATCTCACATGATGCCATCTAATCTAGTTACAGACACACAGACATGTATCATAGCATCTATATTGTTTCCAACAGGTAATGGGCATTCTGCCCTGACTCAGAGGGAGTTTGAGTCTCAACTTCTCACAGAAACAGTCAAGCTGTAGCTCTAGAGTTCAGCAAGGGCTTCTGATTGACTGTTCAATGACTAGATCAGCTATAACCTGGACAAACAAATCCACATGATGTTTTATTCAATAGTTGCGCGCCTCATCTTGTCAGTTTGTAAAAATCAAGCAATAGCACAGGACAGAAGAAAACATCTAGCTTGTTTTACGAGCACTGGAACAGAGGATTTGGGTTTGGTATTTGATTCTTATCTAGTCAAAGCTGGCAGGTTGGACAGGACACTTTCTTTCACAAGCCAGCTGAAGATGTCATTTAACTTCCACATTCTATAGCCTGACCTGGAGACTATACCAGGTCTCAGCACCACCAACAGGGCGCTCATGCATCACTTCTCTGTGGATTCAAGTGCTGCATCAAAAGCCAGAGATCATGCACTCCTGCATGCCATATCTAAACAGAACTTACTCATCTTCTCCAGCACAGCATGCTGTGTGCTGTCTTTTTGTCCCATTTACCTCTCATCTAGCCCTTCCATTCTCCTAAAATTTCACATCCAGGAAACTCAGATCAAATAAACCTAAAAGTCAAACTAAACTATGGGTCACAGGTTAAGTTTTTCTGTTATGTCTATTTTCTAACAGCTCACGTCTACTCACGCTATTTAGCTTTTGCAGGCTGCCTTCTGCCTTTAGATGGCCACTAGTTAACACCATTCTGTGTCAGCTTTCCAGCACAGATATAGTGGGATTTGGCTAGATTCCAAGTAATCTTTATAGAAACACCACCAGCAACATTAACATGGTATTTGTGAAGAGACTCAGTACTCCTGAACTAGTGAAGATATGATGGTAAGTATACGTAATA